TTACAAATCCTTAGTTCACTACTTTTTTGTCTTGTTGTTTTTAACTGCTCATACTTCCAACCCTTATGTTTTTTACACCAACCACAAAGCATTTTATACCTTAGCACTACCAGTCAGTTAGCCACATAGTATATTTAGATCCTTGGCGGTGACGCAGAAGGCTCATTTTAAATTCACTGTAATATATTTAAGGACTCGAGTCCCTCATGGTCTCGTGTGTGTTAATATGACCGTGTGTGTGTGCGTGTTTGTGGCAAACGTTGCAGCTCACAGAATTGTGGACCTGCCGGTGGTTGTGTCTGAGGTCGTGAGTTGGTCTTTTAAGGTGACTACATGACATAACAAAGGCAGAAAATGACAGATTAGCAGTTAAAGGTGCATACTATGTGTGTGTGTGTGTGTGTGTGTGTGGCTGGTGAGTGGGTGGGTAAGTGGGTGGGGCTGCAGTGTTTAGAGGGTTCCCTGAACCTCATCGTTTGTCGCCGTCTTCCTTCCTGTTTCATTCTTTTTCACTTCCTGTCAGCTGACTCAGCCGGAGAATCTTGATCTGGTAAACATGTATGCTACCGCCTCTGCACACGCACTCCTTCTATATCACACGCACACACACACACATAAAGTGTGCTGTAGCTAGACAATGCATGTACATCCATATATACTGAACCACACCATGTGTACCGGAAAGAAACACACAAGTACTTTTAACACTTGTTACATGGTCAGAGTTGGTTACTGAGCCGTAGAAATGCAGCCCATGTAGCAAACCTATAGCTATATGTATATAACATTAAAAACTGTTATTACTCCAGAGTCTGTGACGAACTGCTTTTGAACACACCTCCCCGCTCAAAAAATCCAGCATAAACTAAAAAGCTGACAACAAATGAAGGGACAGAAAGAAAAGAAGAGGCAGAGATTAAAAAAAAGGAGGCGAAAGAAGAAAGACGGCATGAGAGACAACAAAGTTGGGCGCTCAGTGAGAAAAGAGAAACAAAGAGATAAGGCCAGGCGAAGAGGCGGAAAGAGACACAGAGAGATGGAGGAGGGGGGCAGAGAGATAAAGATAGCTGAAAGGAGGGAGATCCGTCAGCGTTTGTTTCCTCAGGATGTGGTTACCACGACGACGAAAAGGCAGCGAGGCAACATCACTACCCCGCTGGTCCTCTTTGACACCTGCAAGTGTGTGTGAGTGTGAAAGGCAGAGTGTGTGCGCGAGTGCGTGTGTGTACATCTGTTTTCAGTGAGTAAGTAAGTCGGTAAATGAGTGTATCGCTGTGAAAAAGACTATAAGAGCTGTCCATTTTGCTTCAAGTGCGACAGACTGTGTGTGCGTGCATGCGTTAATGTATGTGTGTACTGTCAAAGGATGCACAGTAAGGGGAGAGAGAGAGAGAGGTAGTAGGAAGGACTGCGTGAGAGGTCGAAAATCTGAAAGGGGAAATAATTAGACGAGCAGTCGAGACGGTGGAGAGGCAGAACGAATGATGACAGCAGTAAGAAGAACAATAAGAATCCGAAAAAATGAACAACAGAAGACAAACTTCTGTGAAAAGGAAATTAAGCGCCAAAGACTGGTAAAAAAAAAAAAAGAAAAGAAAAAAAACCTCAATACGTATACAGTGTATTTGTCGCTTCATCTCATCTTACTTGGTTCTTTCTCTGTCTGACTCACTCAGTGTCCTATTTAGAGCAGAGTGTGGTTTCAAGAAAGAAAGAAGAAAAACCAATGAAGACTTAAACATTTAATGCAATGTAAATATCTGTACTTGAACAGTATAATGTCAATCACAGTATCAGAAAGAGAAGTGACTGTCATGAAACTGAAGGAGCGTATTAATATTTCTTTTCAACAGAGCACCGACTGGTAGGAAAATGCCTTTCAATTCAGTCACTTCTCTGGTTTTCGTGCAGCGTTCGTGCATTTTTCTTTAGACTACGTTGCGGACATTTACTATCTCATTGATGATCTGATTAAATAAGGTGCAAAACTGTGTTAGTGTAAATGCTCAACAGGAATGTGAATGATTAGAAAAATGAAAATGGAAATTTAAAAGACGTCTCTAATAGTTAAGAACTGCAGCAGTTTGTGTCACGGCGTGAGACTACCGTTGGCTGATTCGTGATGCTTTGTTTTAGAAACAGTAGAGTAAGAAATCATC